TGACTTAGGCCAGGCTTTTGACAAAGTCCTGCACAAACCACTTCTTCTTAAACTCCACGGAATTGGCGTAGCTGGAAACGTTCCCGTATTGCTTGCGGATTTCTTGAGAGATCTAAAGTTTCAAGTAAAGTTGAGTCAAATGTTGTATGGCTCTGTGTCTATGACTATCGGTGTGCCACAAGGCTTTGTCCTTAGGTCGGAACTTTTTAAGCTCTACAATTATGAAGGCAATTGCTTAGTCTATGCTGACGATCTTAAATTATGGTTAGAAGTAGCTAGTCTTGAGGACGCGGGCAGACTCCAAACGGCGCTGGACCAGCTGCGCGATTGGTTCTTCAATGGGCAACTACCGGTCAACTACGACAAATGTGTGGTTCTTCGGATTGGTAACACCGACTCATTTGTTGTATACCACATTGGTGTATATCTCAAGAATGCCCTGCACGAGAAGGATCTGCGTTTTATCGTGTCATATGACCTTAGGACCTTCCAAGGCAGCCTGAGAAAGGTCACAGCCGCGAACATGATGCTGGGTGCAATACGCTGGTCGTCCTCCCGTATCACTCCGGTAGATTTCCGAATTCGTCCGATTTTGGAGTATGGGATTCTAGCGAACTATCCTTCCTTAACATCGGAATGCGGCTTGCTAGAAAGAGTTCAGAGGCGTGGATCTAAATCCGTCATGGAGCTTCGAGATCTTACTTACCCTCTTCGACTAATAAAGCTGAACCTATTCTCTATGGATTATCGTCGGCGCCATGGATATCTTATCTAGATCAGACGGATCTTAAGAGGAGAACTTGGGAGTGAGGTACAAAAGCACGTTCGGCTCAACGTGGACAGTTTGACACGAGGCCACACTTGGACGTTGTACAAGAGCCGAATATTTCACTTCCGTCAAGAAGCTGCCCTATCAATTCGTGTACAGAATTATTGGAACAACCCACCGGAGATCATTGCTGATGCTTTGGCAGAGAAACGTTGCAAACGGCTGCTTGACTGCCATCGCATGAGTACAGCAGGGTTCCGTTGCTCCTACTGCAACGGCAACGATCCCCAAAATAATGCCACTTCGCAGCCAGTTGCGTCAAACTTACACTGAGTCGGAATCGACGGAGCTGACAAGAGGCTCCCCTTCTTCTCTCCACACACCAATGAAGCAATGAGAACTTCAAGGTATACTCAAATCTTCTTTGACATTAAGTAATTACACAAAGCTATGGTACTGTGGCTAAACTGCTCCAGTGAGATGTAAGCATGGTCCGCTACCTCCGCTTGTATGAGTACTAAGGTAACACCAGCTAAAGGCTAGCAAATCAACAAGAAACACATTGTTTGTGCTCTGTGTTGTTCTACACATTCTGCGCTGGGTTTTATCAGCAGTGGAATCAGAGACCATTTCTCCCTTTATATTAGCAAAATATGGTTAACTAGTCCAAATATTCAGTTTTTGTCTGTTTTGCTCATCTTAGGACGGTGTAAATGTAAATCGAAGAATCCATTTCCACATTAAACCGGAATTGGCTACTCAGAGTTGGCCTAGGATTAGGGAGACCATGCACATTTCGACAAGAGTCTGAGTAGTAATAATTAATGTTTGCAAGGCTGAAATCCCGTTCAGGAGATGTACTCTAGTTGGCATGATCTCTTATTGACAGCATCTTGTTTATGCGATTTTGTTTCGAGTTGCTTACACAAAATGTGTTCAAGCCTGATCAGAGGTGACAAATAAATAAAGGTTCATAAAGCTATGATTTAAACGGAAGTTTACCAAAGTACCAGGTGTGTGCATGTCCTTCCACGTTGATTTCACCTAAAGTTACAGTGTTCAAACCTGGGACAACTGTAAACAAACCAACAAATGACACTCAGACCGTAGGTGTGCACGCTCTTGTTAACTTTGAAGGCGCTATGTTGCTGAACCTGGTTTCTTAAAACAAGGAAAATTATAACACTTAATAGGATATGCGTTGTTGCTTCAAAACACGGATTGGGAACTCGATAGCAAAAAGACATGACCCATATTTTGTTTGGACAAACTGGGAAAGGGAGACGTGACCCCAATGCTTCCTTCTACCAAACTGTGTTATTCGGTACTGATCGATGGTATTAGATGGGCTAAGCTTCTGTCTGCCCAAAGGGGGTAGAAAATGCTGCGTAAATAACAACTTTATAAAATAAGCAAAAACTTGATGCTCATCTTCGACAGTGTAACTGTCAGAAGACATCTAGTTTGGGCATTGCGCAGGTGTGTTCATATTTATGTACCAGCACAAATCTAACCAGCTTGTTAGCAATCAGCTAATTATCTCTTTTTGGCCTAACTTGAGGCCTGCAGTGTTGAAAATTTATGCATGATTGAACACGATGGACGGACTCCAAGGGACGCCAAATTTTTACGTTTCCCCTTCTGTTCCTTGGAATACTTGTTTTTTATATGTTTTGGTCATTAGTTAATATTTTTATTAGCATTGATTTGGTAAACATCCTTATGTAGCAGATAGGTTCAAATAGAGTAAGTCTATACATCTATCGTTTTGTCCCAATTTCTACGCACAACCGTGCATGTTTGTTGAATTCAGTGCTGTCTTGTGTTCTGTTAAATGCCATTTGTACTCACTTGCATTGAGCTTATGGAATGGTTCATAGAAGAATGTCTGCAAGTACCACCAAAATCTTCCATCATTAAGAAACACTTATAAAAAGGAGAAGAGCAACGATAAGTTTAGATCAACTTTCGGTTCAAGTTGTGTTTTAGCACCGTAATCTAAACATACAACGCGCGCACAGAGCCCAGACAAGTTATTGCCAACATCTATGAGTAACGTGCTAGTCAGGAACTTTAGCCTTCAGGTTAAGGACCACAGCCTACAGTCCTCAGTTTTAGGTTTACCTGTTCGATTCCAATGCAGTACCAGTAAACCTAGTTTGGAATTGAACGGATCACGCTATGGCAGATGAGAACGGCAAAACGGTATAACTTAGCTGATTAAGTGATGTGCTCTATCGTTCTGTGGGTTTATTTTGCTCGTGGAAAGCTCGCAATACCTTAATTTATTTAAAAGCTGTGGATAGTATGTCCCGTTAATTGAAAAACATCCTAGGCATTCTACAATTCGCAGCAGTGAGAAGTGCTAGCTGTTGCACAAACTTCGGTGGTGAAGCCAATGTCTCGGCCACTCGTTATAACGAAAAGATAGAACGTACTTTGTACATGTGACGGTTATTTAGTATAAAAAGGTCAACATTGACTGCAACCGCTAAATAGTTTAAATGACGCAGGTTCAAGAGCATTCGTTCTATTGATTGCTTTCAGCATCGCACAACCAATCGCTAGCCGAAGAAGTACAGATGAATCGTTTTCAGAAAACAGTGTTCAAATAATGGCACCCCAACGGCATGGCTGTCACTGTGATTAGGCCTGGCGATTTCGTTTTTCCTGAATATTTTTAGGTGACCGTGCAGTAACCACTTATCTCATACGCGTCAAATGACTTTAAGATATTTGTGTCGTATCTGGAGTGAATGTGGATCTGTAGTTACGGTAATGTGCCGCAATCGCCCATTCATTGCTGAAATGCAAGCGGCTCAGTCGAGCGCCGATCCTCAAACGACTGTAATGACTCCCTGTGAGCTACCCTACCGTACGCTATTTGGTTGACGATGGATGCAAGTGTAGGTGACTACACCCGGCGGCTGTTCGCGTCCACAGCGCCATGCGACTCCAGAAATGTGCCATAAACAGAGTTAGCATTTTGGTAGAATTTTACACAATCTTTGCTCGGAAGTGCCGTTGTCTAGGGGTGTTGTCAGTTCTTGTAAATCCTTTCAACTAAAAAACAATAATCATATGCCCGGCGTTGACGATGACTTACGGAATCAATGTGAGGTTATGGACCACATGATCGAAGACGATGTGTGGTGCCTCCTCCTTTTTTTACTTCACAGAACCTTCTATGTATAGTTGATATAACCAAAGTCATGGAACATACTGTTTACCTGTTCACCGGCTTAGCACCGACCACCTTTCGTTCGAAGTGGGACTGTACACGGCCAGTTCAATTATCGCAGCCTGTATGCTTTTCGATCCAAAAATGTCGGAAAAGAAGACACAACCAAATCTATAACTAGATCATGCAGGAGCACAGTAACAGCTGCCCTTAAGGATCAGTAGTCTTTATAGGAACATCCATAAATGCACCCGAGAAATATACATGCTATTCGTCTAGTTGTTGTCTTCACTGAACGCTCAACTTACTGGATTGAGCATCGTATGTCAGACAACATTTCAATGAGTAATAGTTTTAACACATTCTTACACATCCCTTAAGTATTGGACCCAATGCTCTAAACACGAATTTTGATGTCGGGTATCAACTTCGGTACCCTGATTGTCTGGAGCTATGACCTATGCCCCGTCGATTCCGAACAGCGCCAAGCTGATTACAAAATCCTTCAGAGATTCAACTACATGTGGAGCAGGTCATTGTTGAACTGGATGAAAAAACTGTAGGAAATTTGACAGTTACTTGTTCGAAACACCGCATTGTAAGACCAGATTATTACCGGGATCGGACTCCAATCTGTGGGTCGGAGCTCCCAGCCAATGCCTCAGTTCCTAAGCCGCAGTGATAAGATATGCTCAATTTTTACCCCTCACAGCTTGCGCTTCCAAAATTATTAGAGTTAAAGAGATTGTATTAAATTTGCCTTCCTATTATTTTTGGTATTTAACGTAGATCCATGGTTTATTAGTAGACACTTACTAGTGAAAGGGTGCTGCATCGAGGTTTTAGTAAACAAACAATACATTTGGGTTGGAAAGAATATTTTAAGTTTCATCAAGGAAAAGCAGTATGCTCTTGCGCAGTTAGTAAACTGCAATCTTGTAAAAGCACCTGGGTCCCAAAAATTATGAGAATTTGCGGTGTGAGACATATTTCATGAATCAGCGAATCCGAAAAGCGGTCAAGATTGCTATTATCGACTACAAGACTTACATGTAGGCGTCCAATACGAAAAGATCAGAAGAAGCATGAATCCGTTGGTAAGTTTACATCCATCGTTTCCAGTAATGACGTTCGTCTTCATCGGCACACGGTACATTCTTGGTTGGTGGCTAATCGGGTTTCCTTGGGAATTACAGACACAATCAATGGCATTTGCTTCGCTCGCACGAGTCCGAAAGATGGTTTGACCTTTTGGTGTGGATCAGCAGCGAACAGTTAACACATATGGAATGATGCCACAATCAGTTCGCGAATTTGACGTTAGATGATACTCATATCCTGAAAGTCCAAACGGATATAATTAAGCGTTGAAATATCTTTCAGCACTGCCCAAGAGTGGGAAGTGTGCTCAGATCACAGTAACAAAGCGATTTGACTTCCATGTGAAGCGTGGTCAGTTTTTATTACGGTGAGTGTTTGATTTCACTAATCCTATTGGTCACCTCAGGCCAACCACTCCGTTACAAGCACGTCACTGTGCCAAATACGTTGGACTCTATAATGCTGACGCGAGTGCGTGATAATCAATGAGAACTGAATATTAATCATAGATAAACTGTAAGTGACGCGCAGAGAATTTTTCAAAATTCGTTCACAGTGCTGTTAAAGGTAAGTTTTATTCGGGCACATATACACATAACAGCGCTCGTTAAACATAAATAAAGAAACCTTCTGCAAAATGTATTTGTAGCCGCCCGCTTGACACAGGAGTAAACACTGACAAATTTCTTAGTGCATTAATTCCCATTCAACATAGAAATTGCAAACAAGTGGATCCCCTGCGATCATATCTTGTTTCTCTGTTACTCCGAATTTATTTTCCTTGAGTATTTAACGGAAAAAGTCCACTAGACGAGCAATCGCTATCTAGCACGTAATGAGGACGTGGCACTTGCGGGAAGTGAACGTTCGGTAGGTCTTGGTTGTTGATGTCACAAATCCCTCTGAAACTGGTAGCAACTTACATGGTTAGAAGCCACTTACTGCTCTGTATATTTATTATCTATTATAAAAAAGTTAGGTCCATTACATTCCATTGGCTATGATCCGTATTTTTAATGCGAACACAAAAATATAGACTACAGAAAGTAAGCCGACATCAAGGCATGCATTTTTGTGAGATAATCCGTTCCCAATTGTGTGGGGGTCATTTTAGCTTACTTTTAATGCTTATATTTACATAGAATCCACTAGCTTATAATTGTGTTATGAGGATACTCTGTGGGCGCATGAATCCAATAATTCGCAGCATTTCAGCGCACTCGGCTGTTGTCTCTAGTGATTTTGTAAAAGTGAACCGAAGCACAAAGAAATGCATATTTTTGTGTCGCGTAAATTACGAGGATACACATTAAGTCATTCATTTATTTATCTTCTGGTGCTGCTGAAGCAATGACGACGACTCCTTTTGTTTGTAGCTTAAATGCAGCTTAGCCTTACACAAAACTGGGAACCCAGCAATTTCGCATCTATGCCTGGGTATGCGCAAATCATCAAGCACATTAGTATCGTGTTTGGCGTCGAGGTGAGCGACAGCAATGGGTCACCGAGGATCCTCCTCATATACCGAGAACAATAGGAAAACTTCTGTAAGGGAGGTCTGGCATGGGATTTCTGTTGGTATAAACTAAAACAGCTTATCGCAGCATGCCAAATCAGTAAACTTGATAGACGAAACCCTTAATGTTACCGTGCCAAAACACATTGACGCAAACAGCAGCTGACTGGTACCAGTTTAGGAGAAATTAGTAGAATAAAGGATAAGCTTATCAGAGTCGTCCAGAGCCAGGTAGAAAATAACGAATGTACGTGTCATTGATTGCTTGGACATTTCGGATTTGACGAAGTATTTAACAACTTAAGTGACGGATCTCGAGGAGCTCATACAAATAGACATGTGCCAATCCGACTCAGCCGATTCATCAACTAATCACTTCACCGTTGTACTCAAATGGATGCAGCTTTGGTAATTAATACACTTGGAGGCACCTACTTATTAGACATGTGACGGAATTGACCCGAACAACATATCGATTCTCGTTAAATAAACACTCAAGATCTACTGAGGGGGACGGAATGACAAAGTCAAGTATTGCACAGTGGAAACTGCAATGAGACATGCGCAACACCATAACAAACGAAGCTGTGTTATGTAGCTTGTGAGCAGCTGGGACGAAGACATTACAATTACGATTGAAAAAATCCTCCTACTCATTAGTAACAATTAGAATGACAAGCAGCTCCGAAAACTTGCCATCATGCAAAGGACACATCATGTGTACCGACGCTTGTAAAGAACACTCGGACGACTCAAGTGTCTGTACTGATCTACGAGCATCATTGTGGCTTATGACTCCAGAGAGACGATTTCAGCTTTATCCATTAGCGTATTCGTCTACGTGCGGCAAGCTACGTGCGACATCAAAAAGCTTCTGAAGATGACAGATTTGGCATAAAAGTCTGAGTATGGCCAAGCGATCCAGGCTTAGTAGACCTGAAGAGAAAAATTCGTCGCAACTCAGGATGATTGCTTTTGAATTTATCACAGAATATTGCTCCTCAGGATACTGTTCAGGCCATACATGATTGGGTTCTACCAGTCCATGGTGCATTATTGTTAGGTTTCCAGGTAGCCGCCGGTGGTGTCCACTTAACACCGTCTCTTCAGTCGTAATTGTTAATGGACGCTGTGCCAAACCTAAATATTTTGCTTTGCCCGACGTGGTTCCCGAGTGCTACTAGGTCCCGCGTTAGCCAAACTTATTGTGGTAACGCATATAAGCATAAAGCATCACGGAGAAGATGGATCAGTCCAGACTCGTGAGTGGTCTCCACAAATGACCAACATGTGGGCTACTACTTTTGAGGTGTATTCAGATTGTCTGGAACAACCAGATTTGTTATATACAAGCTCACCAATGCTGTGGCACTAACAGATGGTCTACGGATCATGCGTACCAAGTATTTAGGTGTATGGATGTCCATGGCGCGTGTGAACAACTTGGCACTTTACCACTTAGAATGGCAGCGCATTCCTCATAGACCAATTCCAAGCCTCCTCAAGGTCGGGTTGGCGAAATTCGTGGTCGTCCAATTCCTCGACGCGTCTTGTTGTCTTCCGCTAAGAGTAACAACTTAGTAGTGATGTCCATTGCTAGCTCGTTAATAAATACTAGGGATAGACGAGGCCCAAGTACCGAACATTGATATATGCTGCACGTAGCGCGAATATATGTAGACAAAGATGTTTTAACCTAACATCGAAAGGTTGTTAGCGTTGAAACGTACCAATCTACCCCGATGCTGGATCACAAGGCCGTAGTTCTAAAGAACGAATCATGATACGATGATCCAAGCGATCGAACGCCTTTGAAGGTTAGGTTAGATGACATGGATTCCTGTCTGCCCATAGACAAATCAGTCCAAATATTGAATGCAGTTCACAAAATTTTGGTACACATGAAGCTGCGCAGTGTAAAAATAGGCAAATTTTTCTTTTGCTGCCGCCGGTGATATCCAGTACCATGCATTTCGTGTGGTCTATTGATAATCCAAGATGCTGTAAATCCGCCTGAATCGCTCTAGTCGTTCGATCAGGGATTTTCGGTCACGAGCAAGTAGTACATCATCTGCGTAAGTGACATGATCGAATGGACCTGCTGGGGAAATCCACTGTGTGTCAGACGGTGCAATGCTTCCTCGAGTGCCGTGGGGAAGAGCAAGGAGTAGGTGGATTACCCTGACGGACTCCACGCCCTAGGCGAATCCTCAGACCGTTGTGATTGAGATTCCGGAGGAGCAATAAGACTTTAGATAATATATAGGAAAAGAGAGGGTACCAAAAGGTGTGACTGCGCGAAGCAATGAAGCGTGGGAAATGGAATCAACGGCTTTTGAATTATCAAGAAAGTAATGGATTAGGGGATATCGTTCAAGTGGGATTATCTTAGTGCGGAGCGTAGTATCATGGAAGCTTCAAAGCAGTCATCTTTATGAAGAAAACCGAATTGAAGAAGGTTAACCTGGAATGCAGGAATCCAGCGAACGATGGAAATTCTATGAAGTAAAAGAGTGAAGACGGAAGTTACGGAATTTGGTTGAAAGTCTTCAGGGCGAGAAGGGTTGGGGATTTTTGGAACAAACGTTACGCGGGTCACATTCGTTTCAGTAGGATAATGGAAACAGTAAAATAAGCAATTTAAAAATGACATACTGTATCTCGAACCCATTCGACTGATGTCTTTTGGTGTGCTACGGTCTACTACGAGTGTTGATCCATCCAGCGCTGGCAGGGCAGAAATCTTTTCCTCAATGGTTATGGGTTTTACGAGATCCCAGTTAGTCGTTGCATAACCACGTGGTGCCCGGTTGCGATAGCATATCCTGCTAGAAATCGTTGAATCCCGGGATCAGATCTTCATCCGGCATGAATGCCGTCTTCCAACGATCCTCGAATACCGTAGCGGCAGCGTCTTTTCCTCGCAAATGATAGAGGCGTTTTATGTGACCGCATTGAAGTCACCCGTCGCTGTCTGCGTTTACCGGGGCGACATGTGTGAGGGATTAGGGTTGAGCACACTCTTTCCATGGCGTTACTAAATGCTGTACCCGTCTGAATGTATTCAATGAATGTGCGCAAGGGAGCTGCACAGTGTTCAGTTTGTGATTTGCATTTGGCCAGTTTTCCTCTGGTTGTCACCAAAAGACGTTGAAAGGCAGCCTGGTCACCCGTGGTTTCTGTAACTAGGTGACAGGTATCTGTAGCGAGCTTCGCGCGGTTTTCGCGCATGATTCATCCAAATCGACTCTTGGAGTGATTTTGTTTGGTGATCCGGAGGATAATGACAGACTGGTCGATAGAGCGGCGGGCTGTCTCCAGTCCACGTCAAGGTAAGCTAAGTGTGCTGACGCGCAGCGTGACTGTAGAGTTGTCTTGATGGTCACTCAGATGGGAACCGCACCACGAGAGGGGTGAAATTAGGCCGGTGGGGTTCAAATGAAGTGGGTGTGGATCTCTTCGGTCAGAGAGCAGCAAGAGGAATTTGACGACTGAGTGAGAAGGAAAGATGGAGAGGCGGCGTGCGTAACTGAAATAGC